TTTTATGCATGCGTGTCTCGTCAAAATATGGCATTAAACGTCAAAACAAAGTCGAATAATCGAAGCGAATAATGAGCAATAAAATGGATTGGTGAGGTTAGCACGACATCCTTCGAATTCAATGTTGACATTTGATAAATTCGATGGAAGCACTCAAAAACTTTCATGTAAATGTTTCAAGGATTCTGTTTTTTTTTATGTTAAATCGCCTGCGAATATTATAATCATCGAACAATTTTATTTTTTTCAATTTTAATGAATTATTTAAAAGGACAATGGTTGATCATTTTTTATCTCTTACTTCTTTTTCTATTTTAGTCAGTTTCTATTGAAGGTTCACACCTGTTTTTTTTTCATAAGAACGTGCTGTACATTTTCTCTTAGGGGATTTCATATCGCGGAGTATGTAATAAAATTTTGTATTACCTTTTTCTTGCCCTTGTCCAAAAGTCTCGACGTAATAAGCGATAATATAACGTTTTCATCGTCGCGACTGCAAGGTGGTTTATTTTCACGCGCCGGCATTTAACGTCATTAACCACTTACGTTTATTTTGCGAAATATCATGTATCGCGGATAATTACAATCATTTTGCATCTACGTACCGCTTATTTAAGATAATATTTATAATTTTTAGGCGAGTATCAAGATTTTATATTATCCTAGTAAACCATTTTTATATTTATTAATTATTGATTACGAACATTTTCATGAGAAAAAAATGCTAGAAAACAGCAGCGATTTCGTCTATTTGTCAAAATATATGTGTAATTTTGACAATTACTTTAATTAGAGGAAAAATCAAACTAGGCTTCGTCTTAAATCAAGGATACATTTTTTGACATTCGGAATTTTTTAACTATTTTAAAGCTTTCCCAACGAGAGTTCTCTCCTTTCTCCATTATTATTAGTACAGCTAAATGTCGAGCATCGTTTAGCAGACGATGATTAGTGGAACGAAGCCGCCCAGTTCCTAATGTCCGTCTGGAACAAGCACGAGTCTGGTGCCACACTGGGAGCTGTCTGGTAGTGGGGACGTAAAGGGACACGGGGGGGACGAGAATAACGCTTTAGAACTGGAAGGGGGTCAGAGGCCGGTGGAGGGGGACCATCCGTCCATGGTCGTAGGAGAAGGTTGTGGTAGGTCGCGACGGCAAAATGGCCGGTCTGGACGGTTACCCGGGAAACCATCTGGGCGGTGCTTGGCGTTTACCAGAGGCGGAGCATGATGGCCTTGGCGGCCATTATGGTCCTCCACTCCGAGAGATATCGCCACCTGGTGAGCGTCCCCCGAAGCCAGGGGTTAAAAGCAGCCTTGGTACCGGGAATATGCCACCACCCTTCGGGACCGTCTGGGACGCGGATGGGCGAGAGATCGCTCTTGCATTCTGGGATAATTCTCGGACTCTGGGTTAGTTCAGGGAACCGTGTCGTGACATGGTACGTTCCGGTCATTCGAAAACTGGCCATTCGCTCAAGTTGCCCTCCCTAGAGACACGATATATGGTCGATGTGAAGACTATCCCGACGGCATGTATAGACTGTACTTCCGCTTGATTTATTTAACGTTGTCAATAAATTGCTGAAAATTGATTTCGCTGCGCTAGAGGAAGAAAGGCAGGCTTTCTCTCTGTCAGTGATTACGATCGATACGGCGTATCGATGAATCATATTATCGGTACTACTTCTTTAATTATATAACGCTTTCGGTGAGAATCGATTGAAGTTACTTTCACTGTTTCAAAATAATGAGGGCAATTGTTCTGTCGTCATTGACTCTGCCCAGTCGGCGGAGTTTTATTGATGGATTTGTATTGGCTGTTCTCACTTTTCTGAAAATGTAGGAATAAATTATTACAGCATAATAATTGGCCGTAAGTTGCTACAAAGCAGTAATCAGAATTAAATTAAATATAAAGTAGTTGAAACGTTAAAATGATTCTAAAGTAGATCCCGGTTTAAAAAAGAGAAACGTGGTATCTCCAGGGAGGAGAGTTGCAGCATCTCCGCTACTTTTCTAACAAAACTGTTGGATTTCACAAAATTATGAATGGTCGTGTGCTAAGAATATTTTCTGTATTGTTGAAAAAGAAACAACGTCGGGTTCGGTAAAACAACCGCGAAAACACACTGTACGTGTACAGTACCATTAAAATAAAACTCGGGCGAAACAATGGAAGCGATAATACGCGTAACAGGATTCACGGTTTTCCAAATTCTCATTGTCTAAGCCGACTCTCTCGCCGAAAGTTTTCAATTGTTATTAATATTTGCAACGCGCCTCGGCGTTGCGACGCGAATTCTTGATAAACCGGGAAGGGATTCGTCACGCCTTGAATTACGTCGTCCGTGCGGCATCTCCGATGCGCGGGTAATCCGGACGCGCGGGACACGGAAATATAGAAGAGAGATTCCTGCGAAAACGGATTACAATTCCTGACATAGCCCCGCCGGTGCCGAATACCCCCGCGATTCGGATTGCATGCCAGCGGCAGCGCCATTAAATGCACCGAGCGAGCGAACGGGCGAGCGAGCGCGAGATTACGTTATTATTAATCATCCGTGTATCGTTTACGCGGCGCGTCCCTCGCCTATTATTAACGGCCGTTGCGCCCCGTAGATATTTACTTATTAATTAACCGATTAACGTTTCGCAATTATGCGCCGTCACGCTCCACTCGCGTACCCGGAAACCGCGCCTCGCCCGTACCTCATCTCGCGTTTCTTCGATTAATAACGGCTACGAATTATTATTGATGCCAGGCGATGTGCCACGGTACCGTAGCCGGAGTCTGGCCAACCCGCCATTTCCAGACGCATCAATTAATTTCCTGCGGTCATGCAAATGCAAATTCATGCGCCACGCCGTTTCTTCCGATCGCGAAAAGATAAGCGATCGTCGATCGACGCGTTAATAGATAATACTTATACAATTATTAGACATATTACTGACGCTGGTAAATTGAGTCATCGCGTGTCTCTATCGTTTACTCGCGGCATATCCTTCTGATGTGTCTATATTTTTTTATTCGATTCTATTTTAACGATACTTTACACGTTCATTGTACCTTATTATTATTACGCTTATGTTACGAGCCACTTTCTCTCGTGACTATTTAAAACTTTTGGCATGTCCCACCTCTTATGTGCGGTATAATTGCGACGCACTGAATCATGCACGGTACTGGCCAGATACCGAATTGAGTATTTGCGGTCGCGGCGCGGCGATTTCTACGAGCGTACTCCGCTCGTAAATGCTGATTTATCAATTAATTGGCTGACGCCCCGTGACCGCATTGAGTCACGCTCTCCCCTTACGATGACCCCAGTACGCCGGACAGGCGAAGGGATGGCATGCTGTGTGATATTCCGAGGAAATTTAAAACCGGATGTTCCCTTCAAACGCAAACTATCAATATCTATAAATATAACGTATATATTTTTGCGCCGATCGGAGTGCGAGAAAGATTTCTCTTCTCGATATCATGCGAACACATTTCGTGATGTCGACATAATATTTTATAATTATACGTTATCCCGTAATCGAAGGTACTCTGGGGAAAAAAAGATAGCAATCCATTTTAGGACCCACAATTGGTAATCGAATTATTTGGATTGTCCGTAACTCTAATCCTTTACGAATTTCACCCCGCGCAGCTAAAAATCGCAATGAGCTATTCTATCTATATCCAACATTTCAAAGTAATACTAATCAGTTCTCTCAATTAGTTCTGTCGATATTCAGTAACGCAAAGATAATTTTCACTTAAGAGGCGCTAACCGAAATGCTTCTCGGAGTAGAGTTACGTACAATCCAAATAATTCGATTACTAATTGCGGGCCCCAAAATTGGGTTGCTAGCTGTCTTTTTTTCCCTCCTCCAGAGTAGAGATGGTTTCAAAGGCTCCAGAAGTTTGAAGCGAAGACGCGCCAATGTATTTTTCAATTATTTCGCGAGCGGTCTCGAACATGAACGGAGATCCAGTCTGGCATTTCGAAATTTGGAGGAGATCGGAAACAGGAGAAGCGTTTATTTAAATTTCCGCGAAAGTGGGGCGTGCAGAGGCCACGGGACACGAAATGACTATCCGTTATTTGATTCGGTGAATCGGCTCCCCGCGTCCGAATCCCGGTCGCGCTGACAAAGCCCGAGAGTAAACCGAGCGTGCGGATCCTGCTACATCCCGCCTCCTGACCCCCTCGTTATCCTGGCAGCCAGCACTTTCTGCTTCAGGCCAGAGGTTATGAATAATACATATTAATTGCGTTATCCCCACATACCGTCTCCTCTCTCCCTTTGTATAAATATGTACGGCATATTCGAGACAATCTCACCATCGACGCGCCAATTCGTTGCGTGCATCTCGGCAGGAGGAACGCGAACAAGAGGCCCGATAAGCGAGCATGAATATCGCGATAATAGGCGTTGATAATTAACTGGTGGTTGTTACCGCGGATACCTGAAAAGGTCCCGCCCCGTGCATCGTTCGCATGATAACCGCTCGTTGTCGAGAACGGTTTAATCCTTAACCCCTCGTGATTCCGCGGAATAAGTAGAACCTATACAGATTTCATTTCATTATGTAGCATCTGCTATTTTCAAAGCCTCTAATTAATAGCGGACGGGGCGCATTGTTGCATCGCAACTCGAAAAATAGCTGCGTAGAGAATTGCTTTCGTAATTCGGTTTATAATGGAAGGGATTATTTGCGAAGTGGTTTCCATATCAAATCTCTCGCGGAAATATGTAGCTTGGATTAATATAATTATACGTCAGCTACGAAATACTATTCAAATGTTATTATCAATCGTTATAGCTAGGAAAAGAGAAACATGTAGATACGCCGATTTATTTCAGTTAAATCTTTTAATTTGTATCGCGTGTCAGCTCGCATTCGTTAACAGCTGGAACGTCATAGAGACTTTGTTTCACGCCCAGTCGTTTTATCATATTATAATACAGTTGCACTTAATATATGCGTTTAATCATATGCTTGCAGATCCTCGTAGAGTACGACGACGTGGAGTGGCAAAGGAGGGAGTGGCTGTCACCACACAGGGATGCCGTATTCTCCTTCTTTCTCATTGAACGAGGTCTCTATTGGGCCGAACGACCTGACCCCAGGCACGCCAGTCTCATCCCCATCGATCATCACAATCACGCGAACAATAACCACCATCAGCACCGCATTAACGGGAAACCGCTCAGGGGCGCCACGGCGGTCGCCGACACCGTCGCTTGGCCAGCTCTCGTGAGTATAAATAAACTGTATCTGTTTTTTTTTTATGGACGATGTTACGAATTCTCGCTTCGTTTTTTTTCTCTCCACGAAGAAAGACATATCGATCAGCTCTTCGTCCATTAATATTTCACTTTACGAATTAAATTACGGGAAGAGATAAAATTCCAAAGGGAGAATTAAAAAGTGAATATTAAACGTGACTTTTATTAGACATGAGACGAAAGACAAGTTATCTCTCTCTCTCTCTCTTTACAAGTGACATAACTTCCCCGCCTGTATTCGGAAATATAGATTGTAAATTTTACACGATATTGTTGAGAAAATACTTGTAGCAGGATTTGAACGTTATACGGTACACGCATAGAATATTCACGCGAAATTCCGGCAATAATCTGTCACGTGTGATTTCCTTCTCATTATACAGAAAAGTTGTCGCGATTTACCATTTTTTATGCAGATCTCTCATATTTTAACGATGATAATTGAGGAATGCTCGCGGTCCCATTCGAATATTAATCAGTTCGTGGTTAATTAATGAAATACTCGATTCTCCATTCTCGTTGAATAAATTTTACAATCGACACAATTCGACCGCAACAAAACAGACTGCCGCGTTCCATTGGCTCGGCGCTCTTTTTCTCATTAAAATTTTAACGCTCCAGCGAGCTTAATTATTTTGCGAAGACTTAACGACGCAAAAATAATTACACCTATATAATTAAAAATTTTGCCTCTTACGCGGTTTTTTTTATTAAGGAATTTTAAGAGAATGCAGCGTTGTAAATGTCAAAGTATCACTGCCGTGACTGTTAATTTTCATTTCTATTTCTTCCAAATAGTATTTAATTTTGCGAGAATATTCGATGGCACGTATCGGGTCAAAACTATTAGCTGTATTATATTCTTTCCTAAAATATAAATACGTTTTTGTTTTCAAATAAATCTCTTTTATTTATGTTATAAACTAATTCTATTTCCATCGAATAATTAATCGGTTGGGATTTTTAATTCGCCAGCCAAAATCATTTAAAATCGTAATATAATCTCCCCTCATTAAGTAAATGAATTAAATATCCTTTTTTTTAATGCTCCGGTGCGAATTTTATTATTATATTATCTTTTATAATGAATCTAACCTTTTTTGACGGTTTAATGTAAATTGGATTAGTTAAATGCAGCATGTGCACACGTTTGAATAACAGAAATGTGTTGCTTGAATGGGGTGGACTAAAATGTTATTTCACGCGGAATAGCGCATATAATCGAAAATCGCGTGTTTGTTTCTAGACTTTCTATCCTCTCGTGGCACGCGCCGAGTTGCACGAGGACGCCATGCCGATCGAGTTTATGCAAGATCGCAAACTGGACTTCGTCGACTACTCGAAGCTGAAGCCGTTCACTGTAAGTGTCACATATCTCAATCGTTTTGATTGTTTAAGATCAGCCGCGTGATAAACTGTAAAGGTTATGCATAATACGAGCGATTGTTTAATTATCTCTACGATTCACGTAGGGCGATAAATTATTTGCACACAAATACTGATGTAACATCACTTATCGTGCAGCTCCAAATCAATTTCTTGAAATTTGCTTAATACGGTATGAAAATATTTGATATCTTTTACACGGAGAAAAAGGTTCCTTTGGATTTAATATTCCTATTTATTTGATTGAAACTTGTTTCATTGAAACAACATATGCTTATACGAAACTTTATTTGTTTGAATAAAAATTTTGTTGTTTTATTCAAGCAATCTCTATTATTTAATGGAAAAGACACAATTATTTGAGGTAATATCTTTCAATTAAATAATTATATTATATGGCCAGGCGCCAATAAAGTTCGGTGCTGCCACTAGATGGCCGGCGAACTCGTAAGTAAAATCACGGCGGTCAGACATATGAGCGACCGCATCAGCAGACGCAGTCTAATCGTCTAATGGTCTATTCTTTATAGCTGAACATAGTTTGCTAATTCAGTGTTTATCTTTCTTCTTCTAATGAAGGGAAAGTTCTAACGTAAATGGAAAAATATGTATGTACATTTTTTTACATATTTTCTATCAAACTATAATGTTGTTTGAATAAAACACTATCATTTCGATGAAAGAGAATATACCTATTGTTTCAAACAAATATTTTATTGCGGACGATATATATTATTTTAAATTCAAACAAATGATTCGTTTGAACCATTCCAAGTATCAAATTTGTTTGGCTAAAACAAAATTTATTAACAACATCAATGATTTTTATTGACCGTATCTGGCAATTAAAATTCTTATTGCGAAAAATATTACCCCAACCAGGATTCGAACCTGGGACCTCCCTCAGGTCCAGTTTCACAAACGTCGGTTAACTGTTAACCAGAGTTCAATCGACTTCCTACCTTTCTCTATCTTGTTATCCAAGAAGAGACAGAGGATCAATTAACCATGGGTTAGCGGTTAAACGACGTTTGTGAAACTGGCCCTCAATCCGTGACGGGCGTCTTACCAGCTCGACCACTGGGGCTGTGATAATACTATTCGCAATAACATATATTAGTTAAGATGTTGTTTACGCGTCTATTTCGACTTTTCAGAACAGTGCGTCGATACGGGTTGTCGACCATACACTGAACTGTCGATACGCGATTTTTTAAATTTTCCCTTTCCCCTGCCCTCCCCCCGATCCCAATTAATAATAAAAATTTATTAAATCCAACGAAATCGTTTTCTCTGTGTATGACGCATCAAAGTTCAAGTACGATGGAACTAGCCGAGGGGTAAATGGGCATTGTGGTGTACAGATTTGCGGCATTATTGGGCATTACTAGGCATTTTTGGGGCATTAGTTTGGGCATTAAGCCTTGCTGGGGCGTTATAAAGACAAAATAAGATTAAATAAGATAAAGTAATGTCCACTGGGCATTAGTGGGCATTGGTGTACAAGATTTTGGTCAGCGGTTTTCCCCTCGGAACGAGCGTTTGGCGGAAAGAATTGGCGATCCAGCGGTGCTCTTTAATTACCCGTCCGTGTGATTGCTTTCACGTGGAACGCGAAAAAACGTAAAAAGCCACGAAACTTACGCGCGCGACGAGAGACACGGCGACAATTTCCGCTGACCAAGGTACATTGACGCAATCCGTTATCTCGTTTCCCTCCTAATTTCCTCGCCGCCGCGGCGCGACGTCCTGCACATTTCACGCGCGAGATGCGATAGAGGATCCCGAAAACGATTAAGAGCCCCGCGAGCCGAGCGAGCTCGGTCGGCGAGCGCGGTATAGCGCGCGTCGCAGCGGCCACTTCCGCTTTACGACTGGAAACTTACTTCGTTAGGGCCCTCGCTGGGAACTTAGTTAGGGAACAAGTTCCGGCGCCATTGGCGCATCCGACACCCCTCCAGGGCAACGGATGCGAATGCGAGACCGCGCGTCTCGTCCTCGCCCGAGTCGTACCGCTGCTGTAAGTAATCTTTCACGGAGGCTCGTTGTGTCCAACTTCTCGTAAGAGCTACGCGGAAGAGTCGACCGAACTTTGTCCCGATGCTGGAAGGAGCCGGCCGAACTTTGACTACCCGAGTTCCCGTTTCACTTTCGCGTATGCGCGGGAATTATGTTCATGAGCGGAAACTTTTCGCGCGACATTTCTCACCGGGCTGGAGATTTTATTATTTCGCGATGACAAGTTAAATCGGGGAAAAGACTTATTCAACGCCAGCAACTGATTAAACAAAGTAGAAAAATTGCATGGCGACCAATGGCTGGCAAATTCTAATTAAAGAAATTCATTGCGAAAAATATTAAGGGTGTCCGGGGTGTCTCAGGGTGGAGGGGAGGGTAGGGAACGGGGATACTTAAAATCGCGTTTCGTTAGTTCTGTGTACAGCCCACAACCCGAATCGTACTGTTTATTTCTACTAATATTACTACATGCCTCAGTGGTCGAATTGGTGAGACGCCCGCCTGGAGCGTAGGGAGGTCCAGGTTCAAGCCCTGGCTGAGGTAATATTTTTCGCAATGAATGTTTTCAATTAGAATTTGCCAGCCATTGGTCGTCATGCAATTTTTCTGCTTTGTGAAATCGGGGAAATTTATTAAAGGGAAGCTGTTGAATCGGTTAGGACAAACGCGCGTGTGCGCGCGCGAGGTTGCATGTGAAATTTTTTGGAAAATAATTTTTAACTATTAATACGATTTGATATGCCGTTTACAATCGTTTTAAATTTACCTTTCGGCATCGCTGCTGCGATAGCGGCGGAAACACATCGTATTTTCTGCCATAATTGGAGATACTGCGTTCTATTATTTTATTTATTTTATCGTTATGAATATTTACTAAACTTCACGAACGAGTTTACGAGATGCTAAGTAACGCGCGTACACCTGATACTTTTTTTTTTTTAATCAGTTTCCTTTCGCAATACGGTACAATTCGTCGATCATTCACTAAAAACGCGAGAGATAAAATCGGTCAAATTTCACCACGCGAATGTGCGGCTAACAAATTTCGATATTAACCTCTGACCTTCGGCTGAGCGCTGTATTAATCGACTTTCCGCCGGGTATCAGTTTGAGGCGGTCGTAATGAATGAGCATGCAGAAACTTGCACGCTTTCATCGGGCAAGCTCCGAGATGGGGAAACACAAGACACTCGACCGAGATAATAAATCGATCAGCCCGATCCCTCCTCGCGAGAGAGCGCGCGTACGTTTCTGTGTGTATGGGTGTGTGCGCGCGCGCGCTCAGCCACTTCGGAAGTTGCCGCACTTCTGTTAGGGTAGGAAGAGTTGAGCGAGGTAGAATTGTTTCCAAGTAATTAAACTACCGGGAAACTTTTACCGTTAAAACTTTTTCCCGCTTCGGCGGCGCGGCGGAACACGGGGGCCGTAAGTCGTTTACGTGCGGCGAGAACTTTCAGTCCGGCGGTCAGGTTCAGGTGTGTCTTACCTTTCAGATCCGCCCTTTATCCCTGCCGCCCGCGACTTAGTCCATCTCAAACAAGACGTATTACCTTCGTGACCTGTGCGCCAAGGATGCCTCGCCAAATTCCAATTGCAATTATAGCAATGCGGACAAGTTTCCTATATATTTTTTTTTCGCTTGAAATTTACGGTCGAGCTTAGCGTCTTAAGTCGAGGCAATGCGTTACGACGTCGACATTTATAATAAAGTCAAAACAAGTCCATTTTTAATCCGAAACTCCTTGCATACCGATAAAGTGGCTCGCGAAGCGCGAGCGTCACTCCGGATTTTTTCCCTCGGCGATAAATCGGTCCTCGTTTCAGCAACAAATCTCTTTCGAACGGCTGTAGATCTTGACTTTCAGCTGCGGGCCGGTGCGCTCGCGTCTCGTCGAGAAAAGGAGAAAGTCGGCGGTTAAGTGCGAGGGAAAAAAAAGAGAGCACAAAAAGGGTCGAAGAAACGGCGCGAGGGGTCAAATTCGTTCGTTCGGGAGGGAGGGAGGGGACAAAGTTACGCGCGAGTGTTCTGACCCTGAACTATAAATGCGACGGGTTCTTTCTCCCCGCTGCATCGCATACCTAACGTGCGTGCACTTGCGCGCGACGTCGCTCGGAGATGTCGCTCTCGCTTTGCTCTCGTTGCCGCGAACGAACGCGACTTTGCGAGAATTCAACTTTCACGTTTATCGGAAATGCTAGCAGCGTAAATCATGTAATAAAATGATCGCAATCATCTCCCCCTAACAGCAATCTCATCCGAATGTTCCGTACTTGCAGAATGTACACCTAGAAAGAAGATTTAGTTGGCAATGATATCCAATTTTAACGACCTGCACTGGCCAATGTTTTTATTTAAAAATACAATACACGTTACAACGTTTCGGTCCCAGATTCGGACTCTTATCAAGTAATCTGCGACAAGATTGTATTATAATTGTTTGGCCAATCCCATTATGACAGTAAGATATTAGTAAAAAAAATTAAAAAATATATAAATCGCATTCCTTGGTTGGGGAGTGCAAAGTTCATAAAAAATGTCACTCGTAACGTTGTAACATGTATTGTTTTTTAAAATAAAACATTGGCCAGTGTAGGTCGTTAAAATTGGATATCATTGGTTTTTAACTGCCGGCGTTATTAAATACTATTTGTGATTTAGTTAGGCTAATCAAATGAGATACGTTGAAATCGTATATTCCTTTGACTCTACTAAATTTTTATTTACTTCTACTACAATAAAACATTTGCTAGATTTGAAGAAGTGGATATGGATTCACTTAGAATGAGTTCCGTTGCACGCATGATGCGCACAACGCATCATTTATCCTTGTTAGTCACCAGATGTTAAATAAGGATAAACGATGCATTACGCGCATCATGCGTGAAACGGAACGCACCCTTAGAAATTTCAGTCTCAATCAATGAAATAAAATTTTGGCTGAGGTAAAAAAGTCA